CTTTTCTTGTTGGTTTTGTGTCCCTCTGCAATCACATATGCCTTTAACTTCATGGAATGATTACCAACTTTCTTTTCGAAGACTCTATTGTCTTTCTCAATCCTCAATCTCACGATCAAATCCTCAAGTTTCATTTCTTTGAATTTGTATTTTAAATAATTTTTGAAATCCTTCTAATGCGATGGTAATTTCTTAATAATTGCAGCCACTTGGAAAGATTTACTAATTAAAATCCATTTGGCATGAATCTTATGTAAAATCACTTGAAGATCTTGAACTTTGACTTATGATAATCTTGGAATCCACTATTTTGTAAGTTAAGGAATCAGCCCACAACGAATTTTTTCATTTTGACATTCTCCTTTGTTGTACTTTTTATCCAATGATTCCCATAAATCTTTAGTCATCTTGATTGAACTATATACATTTTATAATGTATTATCTAACCCATTGAGGATATAATTCTTACACATAATTATATCTTCACTACAAACAACCTCATTTATCTACCGTAGCAATTATATCTGACCCATTGAGTGCTTTCATGCATCTACCGCAACAATAACTTAACAATCAGTCTCATTCTCACAACAAACAGAAAAATCCTTACGAAGAAACTTTGCAAAATTCAATGTAGTGAGATAGAATAATATTTTTTGTTGTCATTTGTTGAAATCATTCTTATTGAATTTTTCAGGCCTCTCCCTACGAGACACATGAATATGTACAGAAATAGGCACCACAAAATTTATAGTAGTAAGAACATTATTATCATTTGTAGCCATTTTTGATACAAAATTACCAAATATTCAAAAATAGAAAAGTAGTAACACTTTACAAAGCAAGTTACTAAACATAGAAAATTGATTAACCATTTTTGATACAAAATTGCCAAATATTCAAAAATAGAAAAACAGTAACACTTTACAAAGCAAGTTACTAAACATAGAAAATTGATTAACCATCAAAATTGTTATTTTATTATATTTAATGATTGATTAATTGCATATTATTTATGATTAAATGTGTTAAATTTCATGATTTTCTAGTTTGATACTTTTTCTAGTTGTGTTTTTTATTTTGCAAGTAAATTAGTTGATTTAAAGTAATAATGGATAAGACAAGTGAAGCAATCACTAAAAGAAGAATTACAATTAATAAGGATTAAAAAGTCAAGATTAAAATATGAAGATTTAAAGATATGACAACAATTTAATCTTTATAAGAGTCCAAATTAAAAAAAAAAACTCATTTAAAATTAGATTTGGAAAGTATCCTAGAAGATAAAGATTTGACACATTTTCAGTATTTTGGTTATAACTTTTGACTTCGATATCTGATTGACTTGATTTTTGTGGGGTTGGAAAGAAGACTCTAAGGACTACAAAAGTGTATCATAAAAATTTCATGAATCAGCCTCTAAATATGCGAAATTCATGCACGAAGGCAAGTAGTTGATTTAAAGTGATAATGGATAAGACAAGTGAAGCAACCATTAGAGGAAGAATCACAATTGATAAGGATTGAAAAGTCAAGATTAAGATATGAAGATTTAAAGATATGACAATAATTTAATCCTTATAAGAGTCCAAATTAGAAGAAAACTCATTTAAAGTTGGATTTGAAAAGTATCATAGAAGATAAGGATTTGACACATCTTCAGTATTTTGATTATAACTTTTGACTCCGATATCTGATTGACTTGATTTTTGCGGGGTTGGAAAAAAGACTCTAAGAGCTACAAAAGTGTACTCACAAAAATTTCGTGAATCAACTTCTAAATATGTGAAATCCAAGTTCGAAGTCTGGACAGATTTTATACCCGCATCCCAAAGATTTTATGCATATGATTTAATCTTAAAAGACTTCTTTTTAAAAATAAATTCTTTTCGATCCAACCTTATATCTTTTACCTAATCCTAAGATTTATTTTAGTATAAATAAGAGCTCTCACCTATTGAGAGGGGAGGATTTGGATGATTATTATTATTCTTTTTCCATATTTTCTTTTTTAGTTTTTGTTCTATTTCTATGGCTTGCTAACTTAGACCCTGACTTACCCTCCGTGGACGAACCTTACGGAGGAACCCTTAGGTTTTCGGGGCATTGGATTCTCACCAATGTTTGTGTTACTTTCGCATATTTAAAAGCTGATTCACGAAATTTTTATGAAATACACTTAAGCTTGTAAGTCTAGATAGATTTTGTACTTACGCCCTAAAAATTTTATACACGGGATTTAACCTTAAAAGATTTCTTTTTAAAAAGGAATTCTTCCCAACCTAATCTTATATCTTGTACCTATACCTAGAATTTATTTTAGTATAAATAAGAGCTCTCACCTAATGAGAGGGGAGGATTTGAATGATTATTATTATTCTTTTCCCATCTTTTCTTTTTTAGTTTTTGTTCTATTTTTATGGCTTGCTAAAAGCCTAACTAAGGCTAGGGGAGTACCTCTCAATAAAGTACGGTAATGTTATTGATTTTTGAGTTTAATGGTATTTGATATTTTGTTAATTCAACTTTTGATTTTTTGACAAAGTTTTTGCTCAGTAAAAATTCATGGGTCTTTATGTCTTATATGTTGAACATTTGAATTTTTCTGTGAGTTAAATAACTGATTATTCCATACTTAATTTGATTATCATTATTTCACAGAATAGTATAATTGGAGGATTACTTAGGTTCCTGAATAAACTTTTGATTATAGATAAAAGTGTTCTCTTGGTTTTATTGTTAAATTTGGTGACTTGAATCAACCGACATTTGATTCTTGTTTAGGGTGAAGAACTAAGTCTTTAATCATTATTGTATGGATTTGAGAGAGAGTACCTGATGCTTTAGTAATTTCAGTTTTTGTTTTAAAACCAAATTTATTGTTTTTTAATTTCAAAATATCTACAACAATTTTTCAAAGCAATTTTATTTTATTTTTCTTTTTGTTCTAAGTTTTCACAATTCCCTTCGGTTTGACCTCGGAATCCCGAGAAATTTATTATTTCGTACAACCTACACTGGGTGATCAATTCTAAAGTTATAACAACAATCTATGTTACAGTTCAATGTCACTGTTTGAAGTTACTATTTCAATGTTATTGTATGGTGTCATTGTTTTAATGTCACTATTTAGTGTAATTGCTTAAATTATACATATAAACAGAGTTATTGTTTGGTCTAACTGTTTGAATTAAACACAAACAGAATATACCATTTTTGCACAAAAATTTTCAAGTATCTCCAAAATACCACAAATTATAAAAAATAAGTTTTAACAATTTGTAATATTTTAGAACAGTTTAAAACATGAATCAAAAACACAACAAATAATTATATAAATAGAAATATATCTTAAGATTGTTGTTTGTGGTAAAATCACTTATTGAAATATCTGATTTATATCATGTAATTAGAATAAACAGTAATAGTGAAGAACGAAACAGTTACCGGTACGAAATAGTTACAGATACGAAATAGATACAAATACGAACTAAATAATATCACAAGAAATCTGCAATTTAAACAATGGATAAACTGACCTGTTTACAGAGGGAACTATTATTAAACTTAAAGTAGATCAAAATTAGAGTTTGACATTATGTCCTTAAGACAAATTTTGCCCCCACACACGATACTTATGGAATCAAAGCATCAGCCTCACAGGATACAATGATCTTCACGCGAATAGAATTAACACTCTAATCTACTTGTCCAACAAATTAGAAATTATGTTGTGTATTCTTCGAATGTGGATTGTCTTAGTGTCGAAATGTAATATACTAATGTTTGTCTTAACTTCGAAAAATGATTGATGCAGGATGGTAATGAACCTGAGTTTATATAGACAAACTGATGACTATTCCGGATAGCCACCATGCAACCAGAAAACACACATGCAACCAGAAGACACTAATGTGTAATTGTTTTATATGAACAGACACTACTCAAAAATTCGGACTAGAAGGAAGACAAAATTCAAGCCAAACGAATTCAAATCCAATAAGTACTGAAATTAAATTCCAGTTCAAAAATTCACACCCAATTCGTTAAACGAATTTTCTCCAAAAAAAATAAGACTTAGTTTAAACTACACCCGAGCTCGAGCCCTGCCAATTTGGGTCGTGGCGGGCAGAGCACGTGTATGTGTGGTCGAACTGATGGCATGTAAACATTTTCTCTGCTCATAAAAATGTGGTACCCATTAGGACCCAATTTCATAGAGCAAATTTGACTTATATATACCTATGTAAAACTACTTCAACCAATGTAAAATTGGTGTCAAATCCCATTTTACAACCTCTATTTTCACATTCTAAGAGGGACACTTTAGTACCTATTTTCTCATTCATTTCTTACTCGATTTGAGCAAGTAAATATGCTACATTATTGTTCTCACAAAGTAGAACACAAACCCATAAAAGTTTCCTCGGAACAATGAACAAGTCCCACTTTAATTTAGACTCAAAGTCAACAAAAATTTAATTTTTACATTTAAAATCTGTTTTGGTCCAACATGTTTAAGTGGTGCTTTCTACGGTAAAAATTGCCAATGTTCAAATGTTAAAAAACTGTGACAGACAATTAAGGAAAAAAACCAAATCCTCCCCATACGTGCAAGTCCAATGATTCTATATATACTACAGCAAATAACACTGGCTTATTGTGTAAAAATCTTAACAACGTAAATTCCTTATATGGTCGTATGAGCTGTATTGAGACATCACAAGGAAAATTCAAGTATCCTATACTTTTTCTCCCTTTTCCTCAATCAAAGTAATTACATGGCCCTATTTACGCCTTACGGCTCCATAGGAGTTGTGCTGTGACCTTTTTTTTTTCAAGCAGAATCTTGTTTTTCCTCCAGTTTTTGCTTTCTTCTTCTGTTCAAAACTTCCAAGTCCACCGTTGGTGTGGAACTTTATGACTAGTTTAGATCCACAAATTGAATATGAATTACTATCATCTACATTCTTGGGCTTTCCTTGGACTGTTTCATATAATTAGCTTGCTACTCTCTTGAAGACAGGTTTCTGACAGACCAGGAGTTTCTCGTCACTGTTACTCTCGATCTCCACAACTCTGGCATCCCATTTTAACTGTGTCGTGAGAGCTCTAGCTGATTCGATGTGAAAGACTGTGTCACGTAATATCACCCATCCCTGCACGAATCCCATCTGGATTAGCAAAAATCCAACACAAAGGATCGGACAAGAATTGGATAGAATAGAATACAGTAAGCCCACCAGTACTATGAAATAGCAGACAATATAAACCGGAGTTCCACATAGACACCAAATGTGATGGAAACTAAGAGCATAAGCCTTGCAAGTGCATGGACTAATAACTGCTAGAAGAGATAATTACAGGCTTTACAGCAAATATTACCGAGGATGTTTTTCGACATTGTTTGTCTGACATTATATTATAACATCTACGCTCATGACAGGTCACCTTGTTGGGATACATGAAATGGAAACCTGAAGGATTTCCTAATGGTTCTAGAGCTGACAAGAACTTCCAGATGTCAACAAACATATTATGCAATGTTGTTGTTGTTGGTTTTCTGTTATTATTATTATTAATTTATGCATTTGTAATTATATAGTACTGGCTGCAGTGTTATCAATCCCAGCCCAGAGCAGTCAGGTCAACAAGGGAACCAGGTGACCTGGTACTAGATCAGACTGGTTTAATAATTGCACCGTTTGTGCATGAAACCCTTGAAAAATCCGGATGNTGTTATCAATCCCAGCCCAGAGCAGTCAGGTCAACAAGGGAACCAGGTGACCTGGTACTAGACCAGACTGGTTTAATAATTGCACCGTTTGTGCATGAAACCCTTGAAAAATCCGGATGACAAAGGGCAGTTCTTTTATAAACAGTGTGAACCGGAAGGGTTGTTAAACCCGATGGTTATGAACCTTACCTAAAAAGGATTGTGTTTGCTGAACTTTTAAGCTCTAAAAACTCCTCTTTCGATCCCAGTCTCTAACAAAATCCATCTCTCTCAGATTCCTCTGACTGAGTCATCCACTTCATCACTCTCGCTCTCAGTCTCAGCCTTATACTCAAGGGCTTACAGGCCATTCTCACAGTCTCAGAGCATCGTCCACACTGGTCACTCCTCTAATCTCCAATCCCTCTCAAGTCACGGTTTCTTCTCTACTCATCTCTCCACCTATTTATCTCATTCTCTAGTAAGCCAGCAACCTCACCCACTGATTTCTTTGATCTCTGTTGTGGTTTTTTGATGTTTGTTTTGTCGGATCTGAATTTTTTTCCACTTCATTCTGTTGAATTCTGATTTTTTGGAGTTTCGGTTTTTGTTATCATTGCATTCTGTTCTTGGACATTAGAAATGTGTTCATTGACTTTACTGTTCATGTTTTGATGGGATTTGGTTGAGACTCACAAGACAAACCCACTCCCATATTAGCAACAGTAGCAGAACTTCTGAATGAAGACGATAAAAGCTGGAACATGGAGTTGCCCTCTAGTCTTTTCGGTGATCGAACCATAAAAGCTATCAGAGAATTCCAACTTCCTCAGCAGCATCCAAAAGAAGATCAGATAGCATGGATCCTCTCAAATAATGGTCGATTCACTGCTAAATCAGCCTTATCAATCACTCAAGAGGAACAAAGGATCAAGTCAGCCATTACCTAGACCATTTTGACTGGAAAACCTTATGGAAAACGAAAATTCAGGAGAGGCACAAGATGATCCTATGGAGAACCATCACTGAATCCCTCCCAACAAAGAGCTTAGCAGCTACCAGAATCCCTATTGAAGATCCTTTCTGCCCCCTTTGCAAGCAGCACATTGAAACAGAGCAACACTTAATTCTTTACTTGCCCTATTGCTAGAAGTATATGGTTCAACAAATGGGGCCTGCATACAGATCACTTTCCACATCTAAGCTTACAGGATTGGTTCCATCATCTACTCAATCCTACATCCTTGTTTGGTCCTAAACTACTTCATACTGATACTATACGCAGCATTCATAGTTACTTCCATTTGGCACTGGAGGAATCAGTCCCTGTTCCATGATGCACCCATTGAACCACAGAAACTATTTCTGGACATTGACCAGCATTTCAATGAGTTTAAAGACCTCAAAGACCTACCAAAAGCCATATAACTCAATTCTGTTTTTTCGATGTCCTCTTTAGGCCACACATGGAAACCACCAGAAGAAGGAAGTCTCAAGATCAATGTGGGTGATGCCATGGGAGCTGAATGTTAATGTACAACTGTGATTGTTAGAAGAGATAACGGAACTGTGGTGAGTGCTCAGACTGGACTAGAACCAACACAGAACCCACTTATAGCAGAGGCTTTGGCATCTAGAATGGCTGCTATATGGGCAGATGCGGAAAGATGGAGTTATGTTACCATAGAGAGTGATTCCCAAACAGTGGTAAATGCAGTGATGCTTTAACACATCAAACCATCATGGACAATCTGGCCAATTATTCAAGACATCAAGCAGCTTCTCAAAAAGCAACCAGATTGGAGTATGGTTTATGAGAGATGCAAAGTCAGCAGCACACGAGCTTGCAAGATGGGGATTGACACTAAAGGATAAAGGCTTGCTCCCTAGTGAGCATCTTCCAAGCTTAGTGTAGTAGTAAAGGAATCCAAGATAGAACTTAGATTCCTGTAGTTAGCTTATGTAAATCCGTTTTAATTTTTTTCTTGTACTGCTTTCTTTCCAAGCAATTAAAAAANCCTGCTCCCTAGTGAGCATCTTCCAAGCTTAGTGTAGTAGTAAAGGAATCCAAGATAGAACTTAGATTCCTGTAGTTAGCTTCTGTAAATCCGTTTTAATTTTTTTCTTGTACTGCTTTCTTTCCAAGCAATTAAAAAAAAACATCACTCCCATATTCGAATACTGTTCTTGTTACGTTATTAACTTTGCTAAGGGTACGTTATTAACTTTGCTAAGGGAACTGCACTTCTGTGGTAATGAACTATAAATTACAAATTAAAACTTATCTTACTGTTTGTAATTGGTGTTAATTTTTTATATCATGATTGGTTAGACTGTTTGACCCAACTGGTCATATGTTATATTTAATTTTGGTAACATCTACAATATTGCCTTGCATGGTCTTTACAAAAGCTTAAAATTGCATTATGTTTCCATATGGATTTTACCAATTTTCTAAAAACTCCATGGACATAGCAGTCATCAAACTCTTTTTTGAGTAAACTGATATCAGACAGCTCACCACTCATCTAACCTCTAAATTTTGTTAGTTTCAGAATGAATAGATCAATGCACGCCCTTCAAAAGTGGAATGTAGAAAGAGTAAAGAAAGGATCAAAGTACCTCCGGACGAAGTAACCTATCAATCTCAGAGAATAGATCAATCAGGGTGCATCTACGCTGCTGACCAATTTCAAGTGATAAGAGTCCTTCACCATGCACCAGATCATAGGTTCTCGGGTAGGTTGGAAATGGTTCACACCTAAAAGAGAAATTAAAATGATATATAAATCACAGAAACATATACAGGTGAACCCATTAATTTTACCCAAAATTCTCTAGAAATGGATATAAAATAAGGCATGGACATAACATTTGACATTTTTCGAGGGCACGTGATACCAGAATTTGTGTCACATTTCAAACCTTTCACTTACTGGTGAATACCTCAACACTGAATTACTATATTTGTTTGGATAACTAACTTAGCATGGCAGAATCCTGGAGATGTTTCTGAAAAGTTCTTTGCAAGATCACATGATCTGCATTTCCTTTTTCCCATTTCCTTTAACATTCATTGCATCTTTGTGTTTCAAGCTCATTCTAGATTTTATTGCACTGCTCCTTAACTGTACAGACTAATTCAAGAATTTCAAGATATTTTAGTGCCGTAAGAAGCACAAGCAACAACATTATCACCATGTTATGGGGCGTGTGCAGTTGACTTCTTTATCTGAAAAATGGGACTTTACCCCTAGCATGTGTGTGTGTTTTTAAGTGTATGTGGGTGCATGCATATATATACATATGAAATATGGGACTCACATAAAACCTCTCAGAAATCAGATTAATCATAAAATTGTTCCCATAGTTACCACGATCTGAGTATATCGATTCCAAACGGAGGTGGGTTTGTGATTCAGATCACCAAAATCTATGTCCCCATATTAGAATACTAACCCTAAATCGATTCACTTTGGAATATGTAGTACAAATATAAAATACATATTAATTGACTATGTGTATATAGATATATAATTATATATTGTTAGAAAATTGAGTAAAAATGTAAAATAAATAGTAACTAATTTAGTGTTTATGGATGTTCTATTATATGTAATATGTATAATAGTGAAAAAGATCTAGATAAGAGTTCCAAAACGAATTGCGATCCAAAACATGGTACCAGCTGAGCCTATCCCCATCGAATTGTGTACCTAAGAAAGTGTTGAACCATGTATCAGAGCGACCTACGATCCATGTAACATATTTGTTCTAGTAGAAAAGGATCATACAAAGTATGAGTGTTCNACCAGCTGAGCCTATCCCCATCGAATTGTGTACCTAAGAAAGTGTTGAACCATGTATCAGAGCGACCTATGATCCATGTAACATATTTGTTCTAGTAGAAAAGGATCATACAAAGTATGAGTGTTCTACCCAAGATAATGTCCTAACAAATCCAATTATAACTAAAGGACACATAAAATGTCTTCTTACTAGCATAAATGTTTAGTGCTCGTGTCAAGCAGATGTGTGATTAGGAGGAATTCTGAACCAGTTAAGGAATCAACTGACAGAGAGTCCAACTGATCCTCACGTGCTGACGGTTAGTGTCTCACATTGACAGGTTTCTTTGTTTACAAATTCTGTGTCAAGCTAGAATGTCAATGTAAAACAATGTTCCTTGAATACAAAAAATTAATTAGTTCTTGACGAGGGAGAGAAGATGGAATTTACCAGTCATGCAACACACCAACAAATCCCCTGTCGAGGATTAAGGGAAGATAGTTGGGCCCATTTGCAGGGACCACATTCATTATCCACACAGATTTCCCAGCTTCTAATAAAGCTGAATTGAAGCCGCCAAAACGTGCATTCATGTCTATCACATTTCTCAACATGTTATAAGGTGGAGAAGGATCCTCATCACCAGGTCGTTTTGGATGATCTGAAAAAATGAGTGGGGAGAGCAGAGACCAATAATTTCGGACTGCTGAGCTCCAGGATACGGCATCCTCAGCAAGGTCTTCTGAATTTAGACCTGATAAAACACAGGAATCATTAATATGATTGCTAAGATGCAGCGCAGCAAATATAGTGGGAAAGTGTGTTCATTTTTTGGGCCAACAAGTTCTATTTACATGCATCCCAGACAAGGTTCCACAAACAAGCTTATCTTGAATGCTAAGAATTACCATAAATAGCAAGTTCTTTTGAATTTGGTTTAGCTCTAGAAGGCCAGGTTGCCCTTTCTTCAATGGGAATCCATCGGCGACTCTCAGTTCCACCTATACATACTTGGAGTGGCCGATAATATGGGGACTCCACATCGTTGCCCTTGCTGCAGGTAGAAGGACCAGAACCAGGTTTCCTGATAGAAGCAGTTCATACCACAGATCAGGATCAGCTACCACTCTCAATGCTCCCATGGTCCTATGACCATCTCAACATGTATTCAAATCAACTGAATGCTCATAGTAGAAATAAAATGTTGAATAGAACTTTAAAAAAAAAAAACAAAAGTTATTGTAAAGGTCAACCAACCTAGAAGCATAACAATCTATTTTTGTAGTCTTTTTCCACACAACAGTTTCATCTTGTTGGGACAGCATATCCCAGCAGAGATTTTGAGCAAAGTTACGCACAAAATTCCATTTTTTCTGATTCTCTTTGTTGCGAAGTGAGCGCTGAGCGTTAGTAAGTGGTGAAGTCCAGACAAAGTACCCACCAGGCCTCAGTACTCGATCAGCTTCAATAAGTAAAATACCATCTGTACCACAACACAAATCACAGCTTGTCAACTACGACATTCCAGTCCTACAATAGACACAATTACATCCACTTGTCAACAAAAAACCATTCTGTAATTCTGCCATGAGAGACTTTTTTAAGTATTGCAACAAAAGAAAGGGCCTACTGATAGAGTTGGCGGCGAGGCGATACTAGTTATCAGGTCAGAAAGAGGCCTGGCCCGTAAGCTGGCCACCTTAAAAAACCATCACTTAATAAGAATTTGTTACGCGCGATATGTGAATAAGATATTTGTACATTACACTTGTTTTGTATGGTCAAACTATAACAAGAGGCAGAGCAGAGTATTGTCAATTGCAAGGTAGAATATTTAGCTTATAGGGACAAAAGGCATGATTTATAGTCAAACATCCAAAAAGACATAATTAGGATACTTTTACAATAACTACCTACATTCTGGTTTATTAGATTCAGTGATAAGTAGCCAAGAAAAAAAACTGACAGTTGCTTCAGCAAACTGATAAGAAACTGAATTTACTGCTTCCTCACTAATCAGATGTACCTTAAAAAAGCCTTAACTGTAAGCCACTTTCAGGGCTGGCTTCATAAAATACCTTAAAATATAGTTCGAGCACTCCACAGTTACTGCTCTCCTATCCGTAGAAACTCACTTTTTGCTAGTTTATATACAAGTAAAGTTCTCCTAAAATCCAGTTAATCAATGTTATTGAAATGCTATGGAAAAAACAAACTTTCTCATTGATCCCACTAGTAGATATGAACATTAATCAGCCCAGTGCAATATTTAAATTTACAATAAGATCCATCCCACCAATTGGAGGAGTTCGAGGGGAAGCATCCAATGAAGGCATATGTTTCCCTTGTAAATATGCATCAACCATGTATGCTTTGCTACATAAAATACCACTGTCATGACAAGATTATGACTGATACCTTTCTGATCCCAGTCAGTGCCGCATCGTGCACAATGTATCATATCAAATGAAAGTGATGGATATGGCAACTGTTTTGAAGTAAAAGAACCAATCATTGCAGGAAGACCTCTTTCAAGAGTTAATTGAACTTGACTGCCCGAAGCCTCATAATCTGCAATACACATAGTTAGCAGTTCCTTGGAGAAAAGATGAGCTCCAAAGCTACCATAACCACATCCTATGTCCAAGATGGTTCTAACCTGGAAAACAAAGTAAAATTATATGCCATTAGCCCACGGGATTCAAAAAAGGATAGGCATAAAAAAATACCCAGATTCATCTACTATTTCCCAAACAGTATGTGTGAATCATTGCATAGATGATGGATAAATAATTGCAGAAAAATTAGGAATATGGTGTGAGATGTCCAATAATTTTGGTCAGCTCCGTATCTCCTTTCACAACAAAGTAAGGAGCTGTAAAAAAAACCTTTCACAATTTGGTCAAATCCCAATGAGAAAATTTTCTCCAAGCAATATCATAACAGTGTATCCATGGTATGCAATCTAATTTGGCATAACTATTGTGAATAGTTAGCAACGAAATGTTATTATCGTTGTGAACAAAGTTATCAGAACCAATCTCGCTGTGAAATAAAAGGTTCAATAATTGTAGTGCAACCTACAAAATCAATGGAGAACTTTCAGTACTGCAGGAACTATGCACCATAGAAAACATCAGAAATTACAAGCTCAGGAGGCAGTCATCAGAATTTCAATGTTTGGGCAAAAGTAAAATTTTGCAAGTTTATTAATTAACTAGATACTATGTCAATTAGGTCAAATGTTATAAACAATGTTTAATTGCAATGTTCATAAATCAACAAGCCCAACAGGCATAGTTCAACTGAAAGTCAACTGACAGTGGAGAAGGGAGGAAAAAGTAAAGAAACCAAACATATTGAATGAGCAGCACCGAAAGCAAAATCCACTTACTCCAGCATGTATAAAGTTGGATTCATTTCTAAGCCCAATCATTTCTGCAATTTGATGTGAGTAGTCCTCAACACCATCAAACATAAGAGATGCTGAACGGAATGAGATCTGCTCTTCATCTAACATCATCATCCTGCAACAACATGGACGGAAAACCAAATGAAGCTCAAGACCTGATAGAATTTTGTTACCTAACAAAAGAAACCAGCGCTCTCCAGTATCCACCTACCTCTTGGTCAAACTCCCAGAAGCGAGCACCTCCTGTGCTGTAATTTTGACATTAGCAAACCAGATGACATCTCTTCCAGTTGGCCATCTAAGAGGAAGCTTGTAATTGACAGGTGGAAGAACCAAGCAATTTTGCCTCAACCCATGCCCACAGTGGTGGTAATACTCTTCGCCTTCGTAGAATCCAGAGGCCAGGTTCTCCATAACATTGGAGCATGGCACAAAATTTTCAGACTCTGGAGAACAATATCCCAATTCTTTTAATCTTGCACTACCAATGGAGAGCTCTCCAATGTCCTGTAAATCTGATACAAGTTGTTCCTGAAGGCGCCTATATCCACCAATTATCTGACCTCTTGAAGAGCTTGTAATTGAGATCGTCCACCAAAAAGATCCAGCAAGAGCCAGAATTACTATAACAACTAAGCTGAACTTGAGCAAAAGCAATATCAATCTATGCCGGCTTCTCAAAGTTCCAGTGCTAAAGGCATCAGATACAAAACCATTTTCAGCTAAACTGTGTTGTGAAGATGAATTATCCTGAAAAAGAAACTGAAAAGGGAATCTGATTGATAAGTACGTGTGATCAGAAGATAAACGATTTTTAACCACATCTTCCTTCTCCGTTTTGTGTTTCGTCTGAGAGCCATCGCAGAACTCATGGCCATTACCGGAGAATCTCCCCCCACCAGAAACACCTCGATGGAGGGGCCTCGACATTTTCAATCTGAAAATCCCAAACAAACGAATTATAAAAAACAAACACCCAGAAAAATTGGTAACTGAAATAAACTAAAACTTGAGGAAAAAAAAAGGAAACGGGTGCCTTGGCATACAGATCTATAAAGACTACAGTATATCAGCATCAAGAAAACANAAACAAACGAATTATAAAAAACAAACACCCAGAAAAATTGGTAACTGAAATAAACTAAAACTTGAGGAAAAAAAAAGGAAATGGGTGCCTTGGCATACAGATCTATAAAGACTACAGTATATCAGCATCAAGAAAACACTCTTATCATATGTCTACCATGGAAAAAACTTTCCAACTATAAGAAAAAAGTCAGCCACAAATAAAAAAAAAAAGGAAGATTAAGCAGATACATTTTAGAGCTAATAAACTATTGAATCTTATCAGTTTGATTTCCTTCCTTACCCACCAAGCAAAAATACAGAGAAAATGTACTTCAAGTGAAATACAGTTCAGTTCAATTACCACCGGGTAGAAGCATAAAAGGACACGCATATATGAATACCCAAAACCCATTTGATCAATTGAATAGGTAACAGATAAAATGGCATCTTTTGACTAATAAATCAAAACCATCAGAGCAATACAGAAAACAACAGAGAAAGTAGTTGCAGAAAACAACAGTACCTTTAGATACAGAGAGTGAACCCTCAATTTCAGCCTACAATAGTGCCGATTTCACCAATTGCTACACCATAAGCACAACCAGCTCTATCTACTCTCGCTCCTCCGTCCACTTCCCGCCTTCTTCTTCTTCTTCTCTTCCTCTCTCTCACTCTCCCTCTCTAACTTCGGCTTGAATGTTTAGAGAGAGAAAGACCCACGGATTGTGGGGTTGTTTCGTATGGATCCAAATCGGGACAGAGCNTTCTCTTCCTCTCTCACTCTCCCTCTCTAACTTCGGCTTGAATGTTTAGAGAGAGAAAGACCCACGGATTGTGGGGTTGTTTCGTATGGATCCAAATCGGGACAGAGCTCGCTCGTGAAGGACTCTTCTCTTCGGTGGATATAAATGTAATACTATATAGATTCAGTTGATATATTCAATAAAGGAATAAAGTAGTTGANTCTTCCTCTCTCTCACTCTCCCTCTCTAACTTCGGCTTGAATGTTTAGAGAGAGAAAGACCCACGGATTGTGGGGTTGTTTCGTATGGATCCAAATCGGGACAGAGCTCGCTCGTGAAGGACTCTTCTCTTCGGTGGATATAAATGTAATACTATATAGATTCAGTTGATATATTCAATAAAGGAATAAAGTAGTTGNCACGGATTGTGGGGTTGTTTCGTATGGATCCAAATCGGGACAGAGCTCGCTCGTGAAGGACTCTTCTCTTCGGTGGATATAAATGTAATACTATATAGATTCGGTTGATATATTCAATAAAGGAATAAAGTAGTTGAGTATTCAAACACCCAATAGCAGTAGAGTTCGATCCTAACTGATCAAGAATTAAGGTTAATTGGTAATTATATCTTGTCTACGGTCTCTCTCTTCGGCGATTTGATAGCACTAAGTAAAGCCTGCTTACAAACAAATACCAATACACAGTCTCTCTCTCTCCCCTATACACAGCACATGACTGACTTGGATCAGCTCAATATACACTCCCCCTCTCACTCANCACTAAGTAAAGCCTGCTTACAAACAAATACCAATACACAGTCTCTCTCTCTCTCCTATACACAGCACATGACTGACTTGGATCAGCTCAATATACACTCCCCCTCTCACTCACTCACTTTCTCTGTCTAGGAGAGGGAGAAGTATTACGATCATGTAGATCTGTGTGAGGGATTCGGGGACATCGTATTATACTATCTTGCGCCGCAATTTCCGGACGCTGATGACTATTACAATTGCGTATACAAGTATAGAACTGTGATATATAGAGAAGAGAGATGGTCTGCAATGGCGTGATGAGCTGAGGGAGGCCAAGAGTGCATTAATGTCAATTCAAAGACAAAACTACAACTATATGTGTCTGGACGCTGGTGGTAAAATACAAAATTTAAAGTCACGGGGACATTGGCAACTGGTGCGGAACCTACTCAAAGAAGCTAGAATAGGTATAGGGTAAAGTTATAATGTAAAACATTAATTTATTATTTTGCATTAATTTATGGATTAATTATATAGGAGGTTCATCTTATTTTGATCCTTAATATTACAATTATATTATTTTGATTCTTAAAGTATTGAATATGTTTTTATATGATCAGTCAAGTAGATAGAAATTATTAATAATTTTTGATCATAAATTTGTCACGTAATATTTAATAGACAAAATAATAATTTAGATAACTCTTAACTAAATTTTTACTCAAATTTTACTTAAATAGTTACATAAATTACACAATTTTTATTATGAACTATCCCAATTTTATATTACACATTTTTTGTCAAGAGCTATCTAAGTTTTGTTTAAGAGCTATCAAAATTATTTTTTGTCTATATTTTGGTATTACGTCACAATTTTCTGATAAAAAATCGTTAATAGTTTGGACGTTGTTTGCTTGAGAGATCGTATAGAAACATATTCAATTATTCAGGGAATAAAATAATGTAATTAAAATATTGAGAACTAAAATGAAACAAATTTCAAACTTTTGGGACGTCTAATGCAATTAACACTTAATTTATGTCTTGATTTATTTTTTTTATTCGATTAAAAATAAAAATATTACTTGACATCAAAAGAGTTGTCCAGTTTTGAACTTTAAATCTAAATTTACAATTCATTTCTATCTCCATGGGCCTAGTTTTTGAGGTTAGATCTTACTTTTTTGAACTTTAGGGATGAAAAATGCAAGTACATTTTGATTTTTAAATAACTAAAATAGCCTTAATAATATTTTTATATCGACATTTTATGTTATTTAATTCTTATTTTTAATATTATTTTAACTTAAATGATGACTTTTAATTTATTAATTTAATTCATCACAAATATTGAATTAGTGGATATCAACCAACATTAAGGTCTACCGTAAATTCAATAAAAAATATTAATTAAATTAATAATTTAGATACCAAAAACTTTACTTTATTATCATACATGTATGCGAGCCAATTATTCTTATTCTTGCTTTAATGCTTTTGAATGGTTTATGCTTAATTTCCAGACAATCAAATTTACAGGCGACGAAAAGGGGTTAAGTAACATTTAAGTTTTTAGAATCAAGCAAAGTAATCTATGACAGATTTTCAACTCTAATTACTTATTATAATCATTTGATGACCTTTTTTTTTTTTTCCTTTGGGGGTAAAATAGTCATTTCACTATGTAAACTCATGGTACAAGTTTACGTTATCGGAAAAAAAATTCGTTATCATTTATTATTTTTGTGACAAATATTTTTACTACTTTTGTGATTTTACGATTCATCCTAACTTTAGTGTACTACAAAAATATCATAAAAGTGGTAAAAATAATTATCACAAAAAATAGTTAAAACCACATACAAAATAATAAATTACTCACAAATATTATAATTATTTTGTTATAAAATGATCTATAAAAATATCTAATAATATAATAAAATTTAGAGATATGGTGTTAATTTTTTTTCCCTTATCATTATTAAGTCCAAACTCATGTGAATGCTTTAGTAATTTTGTTGTTTTAATTCCGTACTATTTATTATTTTTTTGAGTATTTATATCGATTTTTAAGTGAAGTTTACTAGTTTTTGGTTCAATTATTATTTTAGGATAAAATTTATTATTTTTTGAATAGAATTTAATAATTTTCTATTTTTTAATATAATACTGAAAAAATAGCGTAGTGTTTCCATTCAATTAAACTTAGTATTATCAGAAAATAAAGGTGCGTTCAAAAAAAAAAATGGAAAAATTAGGTAACCGGCAAGGATCTGACCCTGATAATAAAATACCCGAATGAATAAATAAATAAATAATAAAATAAATAAATAATAGTATTTGTGGCCCCACCCTACCATAACAACTTTTAGCAGGTCTCTTACGTTCGACGCGGTGAGAATTTTTGTGATGATCTTCTGTATGAATCAGCCGTAACAATGTCTGCCAATCGACTAAAATATTCAATCTAACCACCCCATCGGCATATTAATAAATTGGATTTACTAAATTAAATATAATTTTAATTATATATTTGTATGTGTATATTTTATACTTCAGATCGAACTATAATCTAATCGAATATCGATATATCTGAATTCGAATCTATTAACCATGGTATTAAATTTTGAAATTAGTTACAGATTCGGGATGAACCTCAAAGTTAAATTACATCCAATTTTTATTTATATATGGAAGAACTTTAATTAACAACTATTTTATAAGAATACTAGTTATTGTCTGTACTTAAAGGCACAAAGTAATAAAAACTGATAAATAATAAATATATTTATATTTATATCCAAATTACATCACAAAATATAGAGAAGAGATAAAAAAATTTAAATATCAGTTTGCAGCGAAGGGTGAAAGATAGTGGGCGGTAGTGGTAATGGCGACGATGATGATGATGTTGATGGTGGGGCTGGGGTGGTGGTGGCGGTGGAGGTGGCAGTGGTGGTGGCGATGACAATGAAATTGGCGATGGTAATGAGGGCGACGACAACGATGATGGTGGTGATGGTGGCGGCGAAGGTGGTGGTGACAGCAGCGATGGTGATGGAGGTGGAGGTGGCGATGGCGATGACAGTGACAGTGGCTGTGATGGGGGGCAGTGGTGGTGGTAGTGATAGAAGTAGTGATGGAGCAGTTCAAAATAATATTTTTTTTTTAAAGTGTTTAAGAAAAATAATTCATAGAAATATTTTTAAAAAATTATTCTAAACATACCTTTAAGGGCCTATTTTTTTGTATTAAATTTGGAGTTTTAATATTAACCGTTAGATTAACTTTAAAGTAAAATTTAAAACGATCTCAACCGCAAATAATAAAAGTTATTTTGTTTATTTTTTGAGATTTAAATTAT